CAAGCCTGCTCCCCGGCGCCTCCCCCCGGCCCTCCCCCGTCTCGCTCTCCCACATCCGGGGGCTGTGCGGGCTCCTGCCGCCGCTGCTGCGCGCCTGGCGGGGGCCGCCCGCCGGCCCGGCCCAGCTGCCGCCCCGCGCCTACCCCCGCTACATCCTGCCGCTCGCCTTCGGCAAGTACTTCGCCTCCGTCTCCGCGCACGTCTCGCTCTGGAGGGTCCCGGTCTCCTACGCGCACACAGGTGAGGCCCGGCGGGGTGTCCTTACGCCCGATGTGCGCTCGGGGGGTGCCCGGGGGGGCGGCCCGGCGCCGGCTGTGCCCGTAGGGGGCCCGGTGGGGTGTCCTGGCGCCTGGCGTTTGCTCAGGCTGGCGCGCGGGGGGGTGACCTGAAGCCCAGGGTGTGCTCGTACGGGTGTCCAGCGTGGTGCCCCGCTCTCCGCTGTGTGCTTGTATGGGTCCCCAGTGCGGTGTCCTGGTCCCCAGCGCATGCTTGTACCGGTGCCTGCTGAGGTGACCTGAAGCCCGGTGCGTGCCCCCGTGGGTGCCTGGTGCCCCTATGGGTGTCCGGTGCCCCTGTGGGTGCCAGGTGCAGTGTCCTGCGTCCCTATGGGTGCCCTGTCCCCCTGTGGGTGCCCGTTGCAGTGCCCTGTCCCCCTGTGGGTGCCCGGTGCAGTGTCCTGCACCCCTATGGGTGCCCTGTCCCCCTGTGGGTGCCCGGTGCAGTGTCGGTGTCCCATGCCCGTATGGGTGCCTGTTGCGGTGCCCTGTCCCCCTGCGGGTGCCCTGTCCCCCTGCGGGTGCCCTGTCCCCCCATGGGTGCCCAGTGCAGTGCCCTGTCCCCCTGTGGGTGCCTGTTGCGGTGCCCTGTCCCCCTGTGGGTGCCAGGTGCCCCTGCGGGTGCCCGGTGCAGTGTCCCAGAGCTCCAAGAACCAGCCAGCGTTTGTACAAGCGCCCAGCACGGTGACGAGGAGGCACGGCCCCGCGTGGGCCAAGGTTATGGCTTTGGTGGGACCGGACCTGAGCCCCTCCTGCATCCCCAGCGCTCACCCTCTGCTGATGGTGGTTAATGGAGGTGGCCCAAGCTTCGCATCCCCACCGACATTTTCTTTCCATTCTCAGTAAAAGCGACGATGCCAATATGGGTGGTTCTTCTTTCACGGATCATAATGAAGGAAAAGCAGACGACGAAGGTGCGGACAGGTTTGCTGAGGTTTCTTCTCTTGGTGGTGGTCGTGGTGTGCTCTGCTGGCTGGGATCAGGAAAGCTCAGGCTTTGGTTGGCTGGGTGAATTTTGTGGTTGAAATTAGATTATGCAGATTTTAAAAGTTCCTTTTCCTTTTGTTGTGAATGTAAAGAAAGCATGTCTGAGCGTTGGGCAAGGCGATGCTCTCGGACACGCTGGAGTTGTTACAGTGTGTGTTGTAGTCACGTAATTCCCTCAAAGTACAATAGTATGAAAGTTGATCCCTGGTTCTGTTGCTTTATTCTTCCTTCTCCTTTCCTCCCCAGATCAGCGGTACGTATAAACTCAGTTGAAATGAAAATTCTTAGACGATGAAAGCTACTCCTCTCCTCCTCTTTCAGGTGTACTTGTCTCTGATCCCCATCATAACTGGTGTCCTGTTGGCCACCGTCACGGAACTTTCCTTTGACATGTGGGGACTCATCAGTGCACTTGCTGCCACTCTGTGTTTTTCACTTCAAAACATCTTCTCAAAGAAGGTAATGGTTTTGCTGTTCGTAACGTTGGGCAGTAGCACCGTCCTTTAGCAGGACGGTATGTATTTTCCAGTACATATATATATTTTTTTTTAAGTTGACTTTATAGTCAAAGGAGCCCAAAGCGATGGTTGGCTATTTTGTACCCCCATTCCTTACGGCTCTTCCTACCTGTCCAAGTTGTTACACTGAAGATTGGGCAGAACTCAGAGTTTATCCTGAGCCTTTTCTTTACTCCTCGGCATGGATTTTTTTTTTTTTTTCCGCTGACAGTTTGATAGTGCTTAAATTTAACAGTTCACATGAAAGCTTTAATGTGTCTTGCTGTATCAAAGCCTTTCTCTGGAGTGAATGAGTCAGTGTTGACGCTAGGCGTTCCTTGAAATCTTAGAAACAAAACGTATGTCTTGAATCTATTTAATTACAAAATGATTTCTGGTTTGCAGAGCATTTTAAATGTATTACTATCTTGTTAATACTAAGAGTCACCGCTCAAGAAACTATTGTTTTTCAAATGGACATCTGTTTTTCTTTGGTCATCCTTATAGGAAATCCATACTGTAACAGTATTTACTTATTTTCATAATTTATCTGTCGTCTGAAGTTGTTACGTGGCTCCTGAATCTCCGCTGATATCGCGGGCAGTCGCTGAAGAAAGGCTCTTTAATTGATGTTTTTTGTCAGGTGTTAAGAGATTCCCGAATACATCATCTTCGGTTGCTGAACATACTTGGGTGCCATGCTGTGTTCTTCATGATCCCCACGTGGGTTTTGGTCGACCTTTCTTCCTTCTTAGTAGAGAACGACTTGGTAAGTGGTGTATTTGGGAAACTGGTCACTATTAAGAAAGAAAAGGGGAAAAAAAAAACAAACGAACAAACACCACCCATACAAAAAAAAGTGCACTGAAGTGTTTCGGTGTAGTTGCTCATCAACATGAAAGGAACCGTTGTGAAATACCTGCAAATTGTTTCAGAAAGCAATATAAAAAAATAAGCATTGTGTTTATTGTGAGACTTCACGTCAGGGTTAGGAGAGGTACCTTATGCGACACCGTAAATCTCAGGCGTCAGTTGCTGGAGACAGGAACAAATGCACCCAGAATGCGCGTTGCAAGTCTGTAGGGAGATGTTTTCTCGGAGTTGGGAGTTGCGTAATGTAACGCGCTTTGGTGCTAGAGTTAAGTTGCGGATGTTCTTCCTGTCCGAGGCAGGTAGGAAGTGACTCAAGCTGTATTTGTGTTCCTTTGTCTCTTATCTGAAACCTGAGATAATTTTTTTTCTTGTACTGTTTGTCTTTATAACAGAGCACAATGTCTCATTGGTCCTGGACCTTGATGCTGCTTATAATCAGTGGATTCTGTAATTTTGCCCAGAATGTCATTGCCTTCAGTATCCTTAACCTGATCAGCCCGCTAAGCTACTCTGTCGCAAATGCCACGAAAAGAATCATGGTCATCACGGTGTCCCTTATCATGCTTCGCAATCCGGTTACGAGCACCAATGTCCTCGGAATGATGACGGCTATCTTAGGGGTCTTCTTATATAACAAGGTAAGAGGTTTATTTGTTCGTTTATTTATTCAGGAAACTCACTTGAAACAGTCTAGTAGCTTTGAAGGATTTATTTTTTTTTGTACAAGAAGCTAACAGCGAGCAGAACAAAAATGTAGAATGTGTGGCGTAAAGCGTCATCGCAGAGGAGGTACATGTGTCACCTGAGCAACGTGCTGGGGTGCTTGGGCCAGGCCAGCTGTTGGGTCTCTAACAAACTTTGATCTTAATATTTTCTTGAAAAATGAAGATGGGGAAGTAACTCACTCAAATCTCTTGAGCAAAAGAGCAGCTTACAGATTTGGGATGTGAGAGGAATGAGGTTTTTATCAGGAGTCACTAATATTTTGAGACTCTAACAGGCATAGATAGTAGTGTAATTGTAAAACCGTGTGCTGTTTTCTAGGTACGTGAATATGTTCGGTGATATCTAAGAAAAGCATTCTTTCTTTCTTTCTTTCTTTCTTTCGCAGACAAAATATGATGCAAACCAAGAAGCAAAGAAGCAGCTACTTCCAGTTACAACTGGAGACCTTGTGAATTTGGACCGGCATCGAAACACTCCCGAAAAGTCTCAGAACGGACTTGTGGCATTTGCACAACATGGAGACTATCAGTATGGTCGAACCAATATCTTAACAGACCACTTCCAGTACAACCGGCAAAACTATCCAACTACCTACAACTTAAATCGTTTTGATATATAGAATCCTGGCAAACAGGTATAGACTGTGATATCAAGGTGTCCCCAACATTATCAGAAACTTTTAGTACATCCATGAATGTAAAGCCATTTTATTGTACAGTTTTTGCAGAAGGGAAGATGCATGTGTAGTGAAAGCGGTACAGACCCTCAACTTCTGCTGAGCAGACCTTTAAACGTGAAACGGCTTAGATCTGACACTGGAACTAAATGCACAGTGTAGCTCTTGTACAGAGATTCGGGTGAAATGCACGTACCAAACTTCAAATATCTGCTGTCACTGCTCCTTTTCAGAGCCTGTCAACTGATCATTCTTTTGGCAGCTAAATTCTGGCCAGTATTTTGTTTCCACGCTGGTAACATCACCTTTAATTTGCTTCTGCTATGTTTTAATGATACTTAGGTGAAACGTTCAGAAAGAAGTGGAACTAAGGCGTACTTCTGCTTATCAGGATTTGTCTGTTTGAGGAGGATTGACATACGTGTGTCGGTTGCAGATAGGTAGACCTGAATTCATCTCGAGCAACTACGAAACTTCGTGTGGGTATTAATTACTTTTGTGCCTATGCCTTCGGTTTTTGGTGACAAACCAGAAGTGTTTCTGAAAGAGTAGACAGTAGAGAGAGTGATCTCTTCGAGAAGTGTACTTCAGGCATAGAGAAACAGAATTCTCTAAAATCACTGTTGTCCCAGTCACTGTAGATAACAAACGAACGGAGCTTAAGATCGTAATTGTTTGCCGAATAATGTAGCCCTGCGACTTCAGACATTGCTCTTCCTTGGCAATACAGAGAACACCTTCACAAATAAAGTGTTTGGAATAATACAATTTTTTTTTTACTTGCTTCACACCTGTTGTCACAAAACTCTTTTGTTGCTTTAGAAATTGGAAGGTTTAAGGTGTTTTCTTCTCAGTTTTATGCATAAATTATGCTCTCTTATATGATTCATATATTATGAATGCATTAATTTGAATAATCATCATTCTTAATTGTTTCTTAAGTCTATCTTTTTAGCCCCTAATTGGTTTTTTTTTTACATTTCTTAATGACTGCTGTTGGAGTTGCTGTGTGCATTTAGCCTGACTTCCACTTTCTGCTGAAAGAAGTTCAGTTTTGTATCCTGCTCTGTTCCTGCAACTCCCCTAGCTCGAATAGTAAATTGTTAAGAAAAAACTATTTGAATCAGCAGTAAATGGATAATTTATGGTCAAGAAGAAGTGATGCAGTTAGTATAAATGACTGTACTGAATTCTAGACAAGTTGACTGTTGTGCGTCAGATACCGCATTTGTGCACGAAAGGAATGAAGCCAGTTGAACTTGGGTTTCGCTGGATCAGATTGTTACTGTTATTACTTTAGCAAAAGACGATTTTAGGGGCCTTCTTTCCTTAACAGAAAAGCTGTTGTACAGTGAGATTTTTGATAGCGTAAGTATCACGTTTTTACTAGAGAGGTATTAGATACCAGTGACAAAATTTAGGGTGTGGTACAGAACACTCCCTCCACTTATTTATTGCTTTAAAAATGACCATTTCCGTGATGCGAGATGATGATTTGGCTCCTTTCTGGATAATAAAGACTGTATTTTTAAGTGCAAAGTCAACCTGATCTTATTCTTTTGGCTGACTGCGGAGGTAGTTATGTAGCCCAAAAGAGGAAATGGTCCTTCTGAGACTTCAGAGATGGGTTAAATATGCTGCTAATGTTTGTGAGCCGAACTTCCTTGACTTGGCTGGAGTTGAATCTCTTCATGCTAGCTTAGAGTTTGGGCTTTTAGTTTAGAAAGTCTAAACAGATTATTCCCTAACCCAGGTTAACAAGAACAAGATAATGAGGCAAAGCATTCTTTCAGATGAAATTTCTTTTGCCTGTTCCAGTATTAATTTATGTATAATTATTTCTTTTTAATATGAGAAAGTGCAAAATGTGTATTTCTAAGACTCGCTCCCCAATATTTAAGTGCTTTTACGTGCATGTAAAAAGGATCGTGTGGGCTCTGGGCTTGGATTAGGTTCTGGCTCTGCAAAAGACTGATTTGAGGATGAGATATTTAGGCTGAGATTTTTAAGAGGGGCTGAAGTTCTCCAGCTGCTTTCAAAGGGAGCTCGCTGTAAACTGTTAGACTCCTGCAAACGCTTAATTGTGTTCTTTGTGCCTCAGTTTCCCCTTTGGAAAATAGAGATGATTCTTCCCTACTTCATGGGGGGAGAAATACCTGCGAAAAGTAGCCGTGGGGCCCCCAGGGACGTACGGGCATAGTATGGGTTCATCTGTACATCTCCTGGTATGTCTGCCGCTGTACCATCTTCATACAACTTGAAGCGTTACTCGGAATAAAGCTCCGCATACTTTATTCACAGATCAGAGGCTTTATTAAATATATTTAGATGATTTCCTTTTGACCAGATCTTTTTTTGCAGCTCTTTTCAGAGAACGCTTGCGCTGCACACTTCCTGTGGCAGGTCTTCAGCTCGGCTTTTTCTGTCAAGAGTACGGTAGGCGGTGAGGGCTTTCTGTTGAAAATACATTGTCCTAAATTGCGGTCTGGGCTCGTGGCCTCGCCGTGTCTCTGAAACAAAACCATTGTACTCGCAGAGCAAAAAGGGACTGCCCCAAAATCAGCAATTTAGGGCGCAGAGAGTGAATCTCTGCCCCGGAGACTGCCTGACAGCGTTCCCACTCTTCTAGTTCAGGCCTGTGGTCAACAGGGGTGATTTTGTATGGTAGAACATATAATTAAAACAGTTAAGTGAATCGGTTGCAAGAGGTGGTTTTGCCGAGTACCTGAATCCGAGTCCTTAAGCAATATTGCCCACATTCAGGTAAAGGAAGTTTCTGATACTGTTGTAATATATATTTTAATCTTGGACCGCTGCAAGATTTCGTTTGGTAAGGTGAAACATTTGTTTTAACATGGTTTGTAAATTAATGACGTATTTAACTATGTACATAGGTCTGTAGAAAGTATGGAAACACTGGAATAAAAAGGGCCTATCTAGACAATCGTGTATAATGACCCTGTTATTAAATCAAAGCGAAGGGGGTTGGTTTGGGTTTTTTCCTTGCAGGAAGCTTTGGGAGTGCCATACATTAGTAGTAATGGCCACTTGTGAGAAATCGGATTAGTGTTTTGGGTGTGATACCTCACCGGGTGGTTACGTAGACCGAAACTACGATGACTTGGATGCCTTACCTAGTGTTAGGACACTAGTCACTGGTATCCTTAGAAATGTTTTGATTTCCGTTGTGTATTTGCAACATACCTGTAAATACATCACAAAATTGGGAAATTCTTCCCCAAACAGTCCTGGATAGCTCTAGAAATACCAGTGTGAAAGAAAGCGATCTCTCCTCACTACGTGTGGGTTTTCTGTTGATGGCTCCGTAGAGTATTTGGTGCTCTTTCAAGAGCTCTTGAAAATATTTCCTTTCCAGATTCAGTTTTAGTACCCAGGAGCGATTAGAGCATCTTTATCATCTGGTAAAATGCTTGTGTTTTTTAAATACCTGAGTGCTAAATAAAATCGAGGCAATACTTAGGCTCTGTAGGTGTACAGTGATTTGTAAAAACAGTGTTGGTAATTTGGGGTCAACTCATGCTGATTCCTGAAGCTCAAGACCTTTTCTTTCCCATGTGTGTTCGAACCCACGTTTTTTCTGATGTAGCATTTTGCAGCAGAAGAAACTTCTGCCATGTAGCTATTTGTGAAAAAGATGCAATATAAATAAAGGAAGAGTTTTTTGTTTTTCTAAGGCTTCCATTTCTGAACCATGTTGTAAGCTGTTAAAAATAATTCTGGAATATCTTTGTGGTGATGGTACAGGCTGGTAAAACAAATTTGTTAATCCTGAGATCCCAGAGGTATGATGCAATCACACGATGTAGATATGCAAGTGCAAATGTGCAGGTGGCAGTCACCACCCATCTTTTTTTGTTGTTTCTTTTTTAATGTTGGTACTCTATAAATTGATGTGAATATGGGTGGGTTTACCCAAAAACCCTGCCCTCCTTGCTGTATGAAACCTGGCACTTAAGCAAATCAACACTTTTGTATTGTTTTCCTCTTCTTATCTTCACTCCGTCGCTCTGTGCAGTTCTGGATGTGACTCAGCGGATCACGATGCCCCTCCAGCCTGTCGATGCTGCTACTGGAGCTGGGATCCCCTATGGGATGGTGGGAAGAAACCACACTGGTGACTTCCAGGTACTGGGACTCTTTCCTCCCTAAAATAAATCGGGCGTTCAGACGGTTTCTGGCGGACACCTCTGTCAGGTAACTGCAGCTTTTGGGGCATTTTGTGGATAAACCGTTGGGGCGTGCTGAGGAACGCGGCGGCCTGGACGGTGACTGCGTGGGCTCCAACGTGCAGAGCAGTAACGTTTGTGTTGGGATGGAAGGCGGCAGCAGGA